TCTATGTTAGTTGCTTCTTGCGGAGAACAGGTAGCATGTTTATATTAAGAATATTATTTTATTCACGTCAGTTAAGGAAAGTTACATTTTCCATTGTACTTTTAGCCTTTGGCCTCAACTTTGACCTTTTATGTTCTTGTCCTCATTGTAGGTCAGCAGTGCCTACCTTGCTTGAGTCCCTGGGGGCAAATGAGGGGTGGGGCAGTTTGCTGTCACTCCCTCTGCCAGATGAAGCCAAAAAGTGCATGCTGGGAAGGAGTAAATAAATTAAATCTGTTAAGCAATTGTTTAGGTTGAGGTAAGCAGTAGGTTGTTATAGGTTGAGCTAGATGCATGAATTTTGTCCATAATTTTTATAATCTTCTCATTGAAAAAGTTCATAAAGTCGTTACAGCTAAGTCCAATTGGGACCTGCAGGTCAGTTGTTTCATGATTTCTAGTTAGTTTAGAAACTATTAAATAGAAATCTGGGATTATTTCTATTGTTTTCTATCAGTCTGGAAAATTATGATGACCTAGCAGTAGTTAGAGCTTGCTTGTAATTTAAAAGGCTATCTTTCCAGGCTCTTCGAAATACCTCCAAATTAGTAGAGCAGCACTTGCGTTCCAGTTTATGAGAGGCTTGTTTGTGTGCATGAGTATGATAAGTGTACCACGGTGCAAGCTTTTTTTCAATAACTCTTTTCTTCTTAAGTGATGCGACTACGTCAAGCGAATCTCGTAAAGTAGTTTCTAAGCTTTCAGTAATCTGATCAAGTGTACTCTGGGTTCCTCCCACAGTCCAATGACATACCTGTATTGGTAGGTTAACTGGCTTCTGGCAAACTTGGCCCTGGCGTGAGTAGGTGAAGGTTTGTGTCTGTGTGTTCTCTGCGATTGACTTGTGTCCTGTCCAGGGTGTACTCTGCCTTTGCCCAGTGTTTTCCAGCTCCCTTGTGACTCTAAATTGTAAGAGGTGGTTGGAAAATGGATGGATGAATGTTTTCAGAGATTTATGACTTGATCAAATTTGAAATGCCCATACAGAATACTCATACTCATTAAAGAATAACACATCTATAAACTTAGAAATGAATGGAATTTGCCTTCTGCTTTAGTACATCTGGAGAGATATATTTCTCATGGTTTCCTCTCACAATAAAAATGAAAAAATCCTACAATTTAATATAAAAATCAAGTGGACCACTTACTTGTTGCCTGGGTGTTCTGAAGTTTTTTTAAATCAGAAATTCAATCTAATAAAATGGTCTGCTAAAGTAAGAAAACCAACATATATATACATATATAAGTTACGGTAAACATATTGTAGTTTTTCATTAGTAGTTGCTTTGTCATTTTTTAATATATTGCACATGGCATTTTCAGAATATTTAGAATTAAGGATTTTAATATAGTGCAGGAATTTGTTTAGCATTTTCTTTAAAAGATTCTGCTGATCTGTGAGCTGGATTGGGCTGTTGTTAGACTGAATTTTGCTTTACACCCGGCAAAATGCACAAACTGGAATTTAGTAAAATGATGTTTGTTTTTTAGATTGGAATTGACATTTAATATGAATTTGATAATTGTTGCATTGGGGCTATAACTTCTGAACCTGTGCAGGAGGAGCAAGGACCATGCACACTTTTCTCCAAAGTCTGCAATTGGAATGAAATTCCTTCCTTCAATTTAATATAAAATTAAATAGTGGCAGTTACCTAAAGTCTACTACTTCCTACTTTAGTCTAGTCTTTTAAAAATCATCAATCTAATGTAGTATAAAATTCATTTCAGAAACAGAAAAGACTTTCAGAGTCTTTAACATTGCTATTTAATGGAGCCATGATGACGCACTTGCCAGTACTGTGAGCTCACAGGTGCCGATTCAACCAGGTGATACCAGAGATACCATGGCTGACAAAAGCTCACAAAGCTCACACATACTGTACCTTGCAGTTATCCTTATCACTTCCTTATCACACAGTTATCCTTATCCCATTAATAGCCATACGGTATAGCCTACTGTAGATCTCAACTGGAGATTTCTGTTCTGCAGGGTTCAGCCTGCTCTCTGGAAAAAGCACCTCTAATAGCTGACTTGTTCAAGCAGTTTTAAAGGTTAAAAATATTGTTTCTCTAATCTCCAATCCTTCTGGATTTCTGGTGGCTCCTGGCTAAGATGACAGTGTAGGTAGTATGCTCTTAGACACTCATCTTACAATGTATTCTGAACATTCTTCTTATACTTAATTTAAAATTTCATTTAGAGTAGATCTTGATACCACACTTTGTCTTGCAAACTCCTGAGAAGCATAATTCATTAGCAAATGAGCCAGGCATCCCTTTTCCCAATGCCAAGGATAAAAAAGCTGGCAGAAAATACTGATCTAATCAGTTCAACAGTCATGATAATGATTCTAGTCTCTTCTCTTTATAACTACTTTCTGTTGTCTAAAATCAGTACCATCCCAGTGGCCTTTATTTAGCACTGATAAATACACTAGCTCAAAAGTACGTAACTGTGATATAGTCTGAAACAATAGTTTCTCTAAAAACTTATCAGAACACATAATTCATTTTACACTTATACATATAATACTCATATCACCTGGCTATGTGACTTCTATGTGCTCAGTGAGGAACCACTACCTCTATATACTGTTCATGGGCACTTCCTGTGATAGAGCATTTCTGAGTGCTTGTCACTAATAAAAATGCAAGAATTTTAATCCACCTAGCTCATCTGGTTTCTAGAAAATAGGCTTTCAGATGTGACTCCTACTAAGTGAGGATTCCCAAGTGAATATATACAATATACTCTGCACAAAGCTTTTTGTTTGTGGTTACAACTTTAGATAAAATAATCTAAGATTCCAAGATTTGGTACCCTTAACTTTTATTTGGTCACTTCCAATGCCAGATTTTTTGTCTTATCAAATAAGCGTGGGTAGATGACATTTTGAGAGTGCAAGAACTGTGATGATGTGGTCAGGTTATTTTATTTCTCATTTCCACTATTCCTTGAATTACCCCCCCTTTTTTTTGTATAGTTTGTTGTAAACAAACCCCTATTGTTTGGATAGTTTTGTGTATATGTCTGAATATGTTCCTTGTTGTGTTCTGTTTTATACATTGCAGAGAAGATGTTTTATAAAATATCGATCCTTTCTGTCATTCAAAATGATGACCAAGAGAAAAGGCTGTATGGATCCCATGGTAATGTACTGTATTAATACTCATATTACTGATGAGCTGATTTAAGCACATCCTTCTATGTGGTGCAAAAAGGGTACTCATACAGTACTTCATTGTCTACTTGCAGGGAGGAGTCAAATTACAGAAAAGGTTGATTCCAAGTTGAATTTAATAATTGCCTTTTCTTTCTGGTGGATTTAACATCTTCATTAAATATAAGATCTATGGACTGTCGATTGTTCAGTAATTCCTTTTCCTTCAGCAAACAACACAATTGTTCCCACAGTTTAAAACAGACTTGTATTGTTTCCACAAAGGATAGGAACAATGCATTGTATTGCCAGTGACAAAAAGAGTCCATTAGTCGTTCGTGTTATTATTATAAAACTTAAATTTCTGCTCTCCAGAATTGCCTTTGATTGCAGAAAACTGTAAGAAAAGTTGAGTTAAAGCCATGTACCATATATCTGAACTGTAAACACAGCTTACAATGTAGAAGTCTTTAAATAAGTTGATAGTGCCCTCCACTGGACTGCAGTAAAAAAGTACTAGCAGATGGTAGGAGATTTTATTTGGCTAAAAACATTGATGGAATAAAATAAATAAAATAAAGGAAAAATAACAATGCTTTAAGCTTGACTGAATATAAAAATTGAAACGTAAAAATATTTTTTGACAGTTTTTTTTTACAATATCAGCAACAAGCAATGTTAAAATAAAATCACAAGCATATTTTCAGAAAATTGTAAAACTTTCTATGGCACATTTCAGATAACTGTATTATAAAAAAATAATATTTGCACACAGTTCCAAAAGCATACATAACTGATTCATGTTTGAAAACTACCACATCATGGATATTGCATTCAATAATCCCCACAACTTTAACTCCAGAGATGCTCATTGCTGAACTGTAACAGTGCAGGGTAAGGGTCCGGATATGATTAAATTCTGTACAAAATTACATTAAATCTAGCATTTTATTTCATTTAAAATAGTTACATATTATTGTTACATATACATGTTTTATATCTTAAGCAGAAAATTATTTATTGGAAGAGTAAGGTCTTAATACCTTATTGTCTTTTTATGCTGGGGGATTTCTAGAACTGTTTTTAATATGTGATTATTCTACACTTTTATTTACTTTTAACTTTTTATAGGAGCAGCATGGCTGCTCTTGGATCCTCTCTGGTTCATTAATTTCAGTTTCCAATTTTTCCATTTCCACTGCCCTTTACTTTTGTTGGCGTTGAATCTAATTTTATATGTATAAAAAAGGGTTACACCCCAGGATTGAACACCTTTTGTCAAGAAGTTCAATTTACCTAGCAGATATGCTCTTAGCTGTGGCTTCATCAAGATTATACAAAAGGATAATTATTTTTGATAGTTGTTATAGAAGCAGACAAAATCTTGAAAGATTTGAACACAGTTACAGTATCTCTCTGTCTGCTTTGTTTCATGAGATATGATGTTATTTTTTTATTATTTTGAAACTGAAAGCTTTAAATATGGTGGACCTAAACTGTTAACAGTGGTGCTAAAAATGTCATTAAATGAACTTAACAATACTATTTGGATAAGGGCAACAAAGAAAATACTGCCAATAGGGAGCAACAGTTCCCAGTTCATGTAAGGTCGTGTGTCAACAGAAGGAAGAAAGCACTGCTGCACCTACTCAATAAATCCTCAACTTTCATTTGAAATCAATGAGTAATCTGAACCTACTTCCTGTGTTCAGAATAGTGAAATGTGTTCAGAAATGCTAACTGCTTCCCATGTTCTTTACGTCAGGTGGAAGATGGGTGTGCTTCTAAACTCTGTCCTTTGCTGGTTTTCTAATTACAGGCAGGTATTCGCTTCAAAGGCGGCAAAGGGTTTTAAAGAGACATTTTGAAGGCCTATTTTGCGATGAAGCAAGGCATAATGTAGCACACGTGATGCCTGTATTTGCAGGTCATGTGAGTGCAGAAGAACAATTGAACATGCAGTGCTATCTTAAGATCAGCAGTAAAAGAGCTAACAAAGAAGTTGCTTACTTTAGAAAGTTTCAATTTTTTATCAGTGTGAAAAAGAATCCTAACACAAAAGCTAATAATTCTTAGCTTACGTGTATACTACTGTTGGTAGTTTTGACATAGAGTATACACTAGGCTTAAATAAAAATATGCCAAAGGATTATTAGTAACACAATCATGTTCATTTTCTTTTCACAACATTTCAGACAAAAACTGCTTAACACTGACACTACATTGATGCATTTTTTCATACTACTGCTGCAACTATGTATAATATGAACACCAACAGTAACTGTTATTGTCATTAGTGCTACCATATTAAGAAATACTGTTTTGCATTATCCCAATAATCACACTAACTAATGCAAAAGAATGAATACAGCTATACACTAAAGACCACATATATGCTTATCAAACAAATACCCTCTACACATTAGTAGAGGGTAAATACAATAAGTCTTCATCACAAGAGCACTGGGGCCAATATATTTCACAGGCTTGACTGATGTCATAACATTTGATTCCACAGTTACATTCTTTTAACAGATCTTCCTTCATGCAAGTTGTACTTCTTGGTATTTTTTCTCTCGTGAAGTGCACTTATTCTTTTTGTACCTGCCAAAAAAGCACCACAAATGTCATTACCAGTAGTATAGAATGATACTGTAATATACAAGTATTTTGGGCAAAATATCTTGTGTCAGAAATGAAATGAACAAGTTCATATCAAACAAAACCTATGCCACAATCTTGTAAAGCCTACTCCTCATTTTGCTGAATCCTGTTAAAGCTGTCGCCAGCCAGTTCACATAAGACAAGGCAGAGACAGCAATGTTTTAACTGAAAGGCACAGAGAGTAAACAAGGTAAACCAAAGCACAGTGGCTCATTGGGCCAGAGCTCATCCTCGCCACAATAACATTAAACAAACTGAGAGCATTCCACCCCTCACCAGATAGGATGCTGGTCCATCACAGTGATCACCGCACAGCTACAGTATTCTGGTCCCCACTTATACAGCTGGGTGGACTGGAGCAGGTGGGGTAAAGTACTGTACCTCACCGCAGGTACAACAGCTGTGTCTGCAGCAGGGACTCCAGCCCATAACCACTCAGTCATGAGTCCAGAGGCTTTCCTACTTATGTACTGTATACTGTACCCTAACGCAAAGCATGTGGGTACATATATGTTAAACAGAAAATTAAAAACAGTAAAAAGCCTGCTGGTTCATGTTGTAGTTCTTGGAAATCAGTGTTGCACATGCAAAATACATTCTTTAATGAATAAAGTTAATTTGTTTTGTTATTATTATTTCAGTTCACAAAACAGAAAGGACGGTTTACAACTAAAACTTCTGTAATTCTTGAGGACTGGCTGCAGTTAAAGAAAAGTATTTTTTTCATACCACTTGTAGAAGAAGTATAATGTTCCTGCTAAAGCGATGAGCAGCAACCCCACGCACACCACGGTGAGAAGGATGTATTCTTTATTCAACGGCTTGCTCACAAGCTCAATGTGAGCACATCTAGACCCAGTGAAGCCCTTCTCACACCTGAGAAATACATGAACAAAGGGAATAGATTTTAAAAAAAATTGGCTATGGAGCCTTCTTTTAAATGGATTTAGTATTATATATACAATACATACTATAATCACTGATGGTGTGTGAAGTATTTTAAGGTATTCAGTCAAGTGCAACATTTACTTAGATTTCCATCTCATAATAAAACTCAGTTACATTCGTACAGTATGTACAGTAACTAAAGTACCCTTTCCAGTGATGAATTTGGTTATTTATGACCAAAATAAGGGATTTAATAATTTTAAGGGATCAATCTGTTGCCTAAATCAATGTATGTAAATGAAACGATGGGCAACATGGTACAGTGGCTATCAAAATGATTTCTTCTCCTTGGACTTTTCCACATTTTACTTTGTTTAAATATAAAATCACAATGTACAGTACAGTATCTGTGAGGGATTTTTGCCATTGACTCACATAAAACACTCTATAATGTCAAAGTGAAAACTAAATTCTAGAGATCCTCCTAAATAAATTATAAATATAAAAAAGAAAATAAGTGATTGAATAAGTATTTTGCTGTGACACACACCTAAACAGGCTCTGGTGCAAAAAAAATGCCTTTAGAAGTCACATAATTTGTTATTAAATGGAGTCCACTTGTGTGCAATTAGGTGGTTCATATGAGGTCTGGATAAATATGCCTTTATCTGTGGGAGGTCTCACAGTTGATTGCTTTCAACAAAACCTACATCACAAAGACAAAGAAAGTTTCAAAGTAATCTGGGACAGGGTTATTAAAAAGCACCAATTACGGGAAGGGTACAGTACTAGAAGATCTCTAAGGCATTTCATATCCCTCAAAGCACAGTAAAGTCTGTTATAAACAAATGTAGAAAATATGGCACAACTGTAAAACTGTGAAGAACAGGGTGTCCTCAAAAACCGAGTTAACAGGCAAAAAGTGCACTAGTCAGGGGGGCAATCGAAAGGTCTCTAAAGAAATTACAGTCATTCATAGCTGAGATGTGAGAAACTGTGCATATGACAATTGCCTGGATGCCTAACAAATTTGGGCTTCATGGGAGAGTGACATAAAGCTCACATTAAATCTCAACTACACTTTACCAGAAGGCATGTGGAACTCTGAGACAAAGTGGAAGAAGATTCTATGGTCTGACTAAACCCAAATTGACTAATGTTTTTGGGCTCATTGTTGCTATGTTTGGTGCAAGCATAACAGTGAACATCATCCTCAGAACACCATCCTTATTGTGAAGCATGGTGGTGGCAGCATCATACTATGGGGAAGCTTTACTGCATCAGGATCTTAAAGCCTTGTGAAGATAGAAGGAAATAGGATGCAGCAAAGTACAGAGAAATATTTTGGCTCCCTTTTTCAATTCTATGTTAAAATCTTATAATTACCACTGAATTAAGAATGGCTAAATAGCAAGACTCCATCTCTGTTCCCACAGTTCCAATCTTACCAAATTAATCCTAGTACAGTTGCTAGAGCCATGACTGAAGTTAAAGAAGGAAAGCCAACATCCATCAAGGCTCACAGTTCAGTGCCACAGTGCCTGAATGCCAGTATTCATCTCACCTGCAGTGGTGTTCATTTAGGTCCACCAAAAAAATGCATTCTCCGTGAAAGCAGTACTTGTCCATGTCTGCATCACATTTTTGTATTTTCACTTGTGCTATTTGTGGGGTCTCATAAGACTGTGGCACAGAAACTGGGGAGAAATTGAAATAGAATATTGTGAAAAAAAGGGTAATTTACAACGTCTAGCTCAGCAGATTAGAAGCCAGTGAATGACCACTTTCTGGCTATACTGCAAGGGCTCACAAAAATGATTCAGCTCTGCAAGGAAATTTACAAATTACTATTTTTATTTCATTGTGATATTATCATTATGAAATAATTTTATTTTTATCCTAAACCTTTTTTTTTATTTTTACTAATTGCACAAACATTATTGTGCAGGCTTTTCATTCTTTGAATCTCACTTGTTGCCCTATACATTATGTTTTTACTTTGTATCAAACTTTTAGTACATATAATCAAACCATACACTATATGGCAAAAGATGCCTATCCTGGGATAGGTGTAGACAAGGATACAAGGTGTTACAGTCACACTTACATAACAAGAGAAACTGGAAACTGCTGGGAACTGCATAGAACAAAGACTTTTAATGCCTATCTGTCTTTCTGTGTGAAACTGACACTAAAATGAACACTACTGAGACTGTAAAGGTTTGTTTTCCATATTATCTTTGCTGCTCTGTTCATTGGTGAGTGATTTATTTTATGGCACCTCAACTCTTCCCTCCCTTCCCTCCCTTCCACTCACAAAACTGCTCCTAATTATAAATGATGTGTAAAATGTTTTCTGTGAAAGTAGAGTCTTTACATAATGGATGAATGTTACCATTTTCTAGAGGATCTGGAGTATAGAGCATTTATTACAAGCACAGTCCTTACTGATTCAGCAAATGGTAAATGTGTATATGCTGAGAAACTGAGAAAAATGCACATATTGTTACCTAATGTAGAACACTCCACCTGTCCAGGGCCGCACAATGGAGATGGAGTCGTACTTTGGACATGTTGCAGGAGTTGCAGACCTAGTAGCAGGGAACAGGCAATGTTATTTAAAAGATGAACATACTGTAGATAAAATATTTGAATGTGCATAGAAACCATTGCTAAAGCACACAATCACTCACATTTGTTTTCCATCAATTCTAAGATAATGCTAGTTTCTAAAATTTAAGATTTTGTAAGTATTTATTAGTGTGGAATTTTGTGTTTCTTCCCAATACAGATACAAACATAAACCATTTTTAAACCATATCTTAATGGACATAATGGTTGATACTTTGCTTATTTCATCCCTTTTAATTTACCTTTGATAATGGTTCCAGCCAAATACATAATAATAATAAATCATAGAACATTTCTTCTTAAGCACCTGACACACCCTAGTATTATTTGGGACTCTGATGCTGTCCCAATATGAGGGTTATGTAGCATGCTCACTGAGCATAAAATAAAATCTTGTTCTTAAAACTATGCAATATTGCAAAATACTGTTACTGCAACAGATTGGTGGTACTGGTGATTAGTGAATAGAAGACAGCTGAGGATGAATACTTACACATACCTATTGCTAATAGGCAAAAATCATCTAGTGAATAACAGCAATTTGACTCTTGGCAAGGTCGAATAAAATTCAATCAAAGTTGAACCTGTATCTCCAGTATAGTAAACTATAACAGTTCCTGCCAGATTCCCCCACCCACTGAGAAAAAAACCAACAGCCTCACACCATACAGTATAAAGAGCATGGTAAGAGTCATTTACACTCTTGGAAAAACAACCAATAACAGTTCAGAGGTGATTCACGATTCACTCTTTGATCTATTAAAATATGCAGAAGACTTAGGCTAAATGCGCTAACAGCAGTTAATCAAGAAAAATCCATAGCAAAGATTGGAGTGTTCTCTTTATTTATCACCACACTGTAACATTGCACTCCAACAAACGTCTCTTTGTAAATAATATTTTTACATATAGTAGCTAACCTAAAACCATCATGTTATGACACCTGCAGGAATTGAACTGTTATTGCTCTGAAAAAAAATACGAAACAGCTCCAGCAGTTATAAAAAAAAGATTATGTCAACCCACTGAGACATGCTCTTGCCAGATTCTTCAATTCACATAGTGCAGTAAATAGTTTTGAAAGGTGTGTAGTCTTGGACTGAACCTTTTTGTTTAGCGAACCATTAAATGCAAAACTGGGATAATTATGGTAAACATCTGGAGCACAAAGGCAACTAAGGTCAGATATACGAAATGAAACATAAAGGCGTGCATTTTTGGTTCAGGCTGTCCTCTACCAAAGGATCAACTACTGTATAAAGAATTTTTAAATAGGCTGTAAATACTTTGTACTGTACATACTGTAATTGAAAAAGCAAGTTGGGACACAGCACACACACCCTGGAACTCAGTATTAGAAAAAAATATGCTTAATCAGAAATTCTGTAGTTCTCTCATATTACACATCCTTCATGTTATTATAGAAGTATGCTCAAAGAGATAAAAATATTTCCAAAGCCTGAACATGTCAGTATCGGAAAAAAAAATGCTTTTGATTCTATTGCTGAACTTACTTTCTGATACCACTGCTTCCCACTGTGATGGACTTGAATGCATAAAGTCTAAGTGGAATATTGAAGCTTCATGAATTAGTATTAGAAAAATTCCCAAACTAATCAAATGCCCTCAGTAACATTTGAAACAAAAATTAATGATAGTGTAAAATAATATTTTTCATTGGATCATACCAGTTTTTACACATATATTTGTTCAATATATAATATCTTCAATATATATGTATATATTTCTTCAACTTGAGCTCCTAAAGCAAACTCTAATTAAAAAAATCACATTATTTCCATTATCTTATGAATTCTAAAATGAAATACTGTACATGTACCCTACCTTCTATTTTTAAGATCTTAGAAGGGTTAATAATGAGTATAATTTAAATGCTTAAAGAAATTCCAAGGTACATAAAACTGACAAACCAGTTTGTAACACTATTATCCTCTCAGATTAAACTTATTTTTAAAACATCTCATAATGATAATTCATCATACTGTATGTGGTTAAAAATGCATTTCAGTGGCAAGGAGGATTAAGAAAGATTACAAACATGTTTATACACCCAAAAAGGAGTTTTACAATTCAAGGGAAAACATGCCTCTGGAATAAATGTGCACAAAACAAACACAAAAAAAACAATATTTGATCAATTTCTAAAGCAACAAAAATGTTGAATAGTTATTTCCTGTTTTGCAAGGTTTTTTCTTGGCAGGTCTTACTTTCCATTCTGATTGTACTCATTTAAAGGTGTTGAAATACATCTTGTAGAAAAGATGTGAGTGATTGTGTGGGAACCTGAATGAGTTTTTTTCTGAAACTAAATATTGAGGCATACTAAATGCCTAAAACACAAGTGACAGTATGGATTATAAACTGTCCCACTGTCACAGTGTCAGCCCCATAGGCAAATGCATTATTACCTAAAAGAACAATTTTATAACTAGCAATACTATAAACACTAACTGACCTTGAATGAGGAACACTGTGCTTTGTGTGAATAAAATGTGTGGCAATTTGGGAAATATGTTTTGTAACCTAGGAGAAAAAGGATGTTCTAGAAAGCATTCTGAGAGACAAAAAGAATCGGACTGCACCTTACGCTGAATTTGAAAAACAGGGCGTGAGGGGATGGCTCATTAGTATCTCTATGAAAATGTGAAGATCAGCATTAGTACAGAGGCCAAGCCATGACCAAAGGAGATCTAGATGAGACCCCTGTTAATTATTAAAGCTATGAGAGGTAACATTAACCTTCCCATACTGGCAAGCAGTACTATCACTTTGGTTAAATAACTCTGGTTTGTACAGTATGTTCTATCCATATTTGTGTTGTGTATTGGTTCCTTCCAAGTGCTCTAGTTTCCTTCACAGTCCAAAAACATATTGGTAGGTTATTTGGCTTCTGGGAAAATTGGCCCTGGTGTGCGCGCGTGTGTGTTTGTGTATCTACCCTGTAATGGACTGGCTTCCCATCCACGGTGTATCCTGCCTCGCACCTACTGCTTGCCAGGAAGGGTTCTGGCTCCTCTGCGACCCTGTACTGGAAGAAGTGGTTAGAAAATGGATGGATAAATAAAATAATGGATTTCCACTGGCATCTGTCCCAGCCCCTTTTTTCTAATAAAGTGCTACCTGATTTTTTTTGTGTGAGACACCATGCAAGTAACCAGACAAGTAACTTTCAGAATTTAGAGGAATCACAAAGTGGTTAGTAATGTTACTCCCCAGCAAAGGAAATAGCTATACTGTTAAGCCAGCATTTAGGAGAATGGTACAGTACATGTGTCCAGAGGAAGGACTTCAGTGAGGTGTCCTGCTTTAAAAACCTTTACTTTCTCACAGAAGCTTCAGAGAATAATGTTTTAAAAAAGTATTGTATGCATACTTTTCCACAGCAAGATGAGCAAATGTCATGTTAGCACTTGTCAATTTGGAGTTATTTTGAAATCACTTGCCTCCATTTATTTAACCACAAGTTAATCTAAAAGTTTTAGATTGTAACTGAGTATACAGCCTTGTTCATTTATTTATTGGAAGATTATTTTATTTTTTCTTAATGTGAGAAATATTAGTAGCAGTATTGCTATACTGCAGAATGTTAAGTTCCAAAATAGATTTTCTTTAAGATAACAGTCTGTGATTTTATCTTGTACAGTATGCCACATCATATATCTGTAAATATTCTAATTCTAATATACTGTATTTGCTGGTGTGTTTAATTTTAGTACTCAATTGTAACCTAAAGATTAATTTTAATTGTTCAATTTCATGTTGGAATCAAGAGGGGAGCTTCAGATGTGAACAGAGGAATGAGTAAAGGGTAACTCCATGCTGGAAAGCTGAAGGAAAGAAAAGACATGTTTTGTCTGTTAAGTCTTCTTCACACCAGAAGAAGACTTAACCTCCAAAACAATGTTTTAAATTTTTTTTCTGTTTTGCAGCATAAAATTAGCCTTTACTTGTATCTTGGATCCAAGCACTGTATTATCTAAAAGCGTGTTGAAGTCAATATGAAAAAGAGGTGGTAACAATTGTACGTGCAAATAAGATTGCGGGAGGTTGGAGATTACTCTATGTAAACATCCTGTGTTCTGTATAATTTTACATCCCCTGCATATGCCTCAGACTTTGTATTGGCCAACAAACTAGCTAGTTAAACTGTAATTGGGAAGCTATCTGTGTTAATTGACCTGCATTCCAAATAACAAATGGCATTTCCTAAGAACAATGCATGACTAACCTCAAACTATTTCATAAGTGCATCTTTTCTTTGTGGTTTTTCTTATACCGAAAGCTCCTGTTCAGCTTCAGATGCAAACATATGTAGAAGGATGATGAGGGCTTTGCTGTGCTAATACCTTTTCACTGCTTCTGATTCAGAGCCTGTAATCATTCACAAATGTATATCATGACGGAAATGAGTTTCCAAGTTGAGGTTAGTTTAGCTATTTTTTTACATTCTTTGCATGTTTCATAGCTTCGGGCATAAAAGACGTACCATGGTTTATGAAATACAGCTTGTGATCATTAGTAGTAAAAGTAAACTATACCACAGAAGCCACTGGTCAGCTCATTGCATAACCAGGATGAACAACCCTGCCATACATACAGTAACTCACATCATACGTGTTGCACCATGTAAGGCTGATTGCTATGTTAATTGTTGACAGGATTTAACTCTTCAAAACCACTCATTCTTGCTATAATGGTAAACATTTCCTAATGAGACATTAATTCTCAAATCATTTTACCTTAAGTCAGTGTCTGTGAATGTTTTAAACTACCTCACTGCAAGCCAACATTTACTCTTTACATTTTAAAACTATAAATGCATCCCCCAATCAACCTCTGTGTGTTTAATTTTTTTAGGTTATTGGTTTTGATCTTATATTGAATTAATTATGTTGCAGTTACTTTGGTGCCAGTCAGTTAGCTGGTGATAGGAGACAAA